TCGAACCCCGAAGGATACTTCCGCGTCCATCTGTGTACCACGGAATAAAGATGGGCTTGTTTGCGTGATTCGCGGGAAAGTTTGCAATTTTCCCCAGGAATTTTCTCTTCCTCCCTTTGCTTCCAACTTTCCCATCTTTTATTATATATATTTTTTCCTTTTCTTTTCTTTTTGATTCTCAATCTTATGGACCGAATTATTTTATGAAAATTGGTCTTCTTTTGTTAATAATTTTCCGGGTAATTGTGACCGAGGTTACAAAACGATCGATATTATAGGAAATACCAAAATCGTGTCAATTTATTGTCTTATTTGATCTAGAGATATTTTATTTCTTGGTTATTAAATGGTTGATTAAATTCATTTTTCTTCTTGCGATTTTTGTGTTGATAATTTACCGAGATTCTGAAGCGATACTTGAAACTTTAAATTGTAGATATTATTTGAAATTTACCTTGCTTCAGAGTAACCCTGAAACTTTACTTGTTAAACGTTACGATATAAAGCACTCGAGTGTTTTCATAAGCCACTCTGGATTGTGATAATGGTTATATAGATTTTTAAATATGTACGTGTTGATATAATAAAGGAGCGATGTATGTAAGAAAGGGATGAGTGGAACAAGTATGCATAGGATGTCAATATCATATGCGTGTAATGATTGAGGTGTTGTGTGAATTGTGTATATTAACACTAGGTTTACGAACGCTATATGCCTATTTCTACGGACACCTGTCAAATTTACAGGTAAAAGAAACCACGTGTCTTTTCATTTTTTAACGATTAGTTTAATTTAAAAGCAATTACAATATTAACAGAGCAACCCAACCGTCAAATTGACGGGTTTTGTAAATCTAGTGTTAATGTAATGTATGAAAGAAGAAAGAGAAAACCGAAAGTGATTTGGCATAGGTCAGTTGTAATTGAGTTTCGATCCTGAAAAGAGGTGTGAGCGTGTAATTGTGAGAAATTAATTATATCTAAACTTAATATTAGCGTTTGATCATTTTTGTAATTAAACAAGGAATTGTTCTTATTGCTATTAATATTTGTTATCCACAACTAACATGGATAACAATCGAAATTAGTAGAAATTATCGGAGCGTCGTTTGCATAATACGAGCAGGGTGTTCCCGCGTTGCATGGTGAAGTAAGTCAACGAAAGTGGGATTTATTGCGTTGATCTATATCTATAACGGGAAGCGAAGTCGCGAAATGGCAAAAAGTCTCGTTACGTCGTTCAAACCTGGCGTTTCATTTTTTACCATTCCAGGTTCTTTTCGATCAAACAGAAATTACATTTCACCTCGATCATGTGAGTCGTCGCGTGTATGATGTGTCCAATAAACAGCGCCACGGTTGATTTATGTCCCTGAAATGAATTATTCAATCCATCGCGCGGAGTGACGGTATCCCTTAATGTATAAATGCATTTTGTTTGATTCTAGATTGCGTTACCATTAGGCGTAGCGCTTCGCCTACGATTTCTGCACGAAATCGCCGCTCATAAATCTTCCCCTCGCGTCCTTACCAATCTCGCTCGATACCCGAATTGGTAAATCGCGCGATTTAGAATGCACCGTGCGGGATCCAATTTGCACTCGACAATGATTCATAAATGGCCCATTAAAAAGGCTTAGCGCGGAACGAGTGACGTTGCATACAAGCTTTCAGTTTTTCAGCCCGCTATAACGCGTTTCATTCTATTACGAGCGTCATTTTTCATTTATTCATTATAGGCCACTAATGACCCGTGATATAATGGACACGCTGCAGGTGATAAATATGGCGGAGTTAATGACGCTATTATGCATCTCGCAACGATACGCTGACATTTCGGCGATAAAAACACGAGCGTAATAATACGGGAAAATGAAAACGTCGGATGAGCCTGGAAGCTTTTAAACCACCGGGCACTTTAAAGTAAATTTTCAAATAAATTTCCGCGCGCGAGATATCTAAATTATAGTCGCTGCTATAAAGAGATTAAAATTAGCAAGGTGATCACAGTGACGACGAGATCGTTATCACTGGCACTCCCTATCGCTGCAGCAAGTTATTTAAAAATCCCCCAAAACATCGCGTCACTTCCGTCACTGTCAGTCCAGGTCATTTCAAATTTTCAGACGGGTGTCGAGGTCATTTTTATCATATCCGAAGTCATTTAAACGGTCACGAACAGTCATAGAGGTCATATCGTTAATCACTAATGAGCATAATCGCTCTGATGTCACGAAGGATTGTCAAAATTGCATTGAGCTTCAGTGTCAATTGAAAATCACGGAAAATCATAGAATCCGTGTCATTGAGAGTCAGGATCACTTGGAGATCACTTGAAGATCAGAAGGTAATCGAGGTCGTATATCTTTCTATCAAAATTATTCTGAGATCACGGAAGTTGATCAAAATCGTGTTATCAGCGATCAAAGTCTAGTAGAGGTCACGGAAGACCTCGTCGAGGTCCTTAAACTACCAGTGTTGCGTCCCGAACACTGCAACTTGCAAGATGCGACTTGCAGGATTGTAAGGCTGGTTTACACGGATGTGGTCTATTCTAAATTAATGGAGCTAGACCTGGTTAGGGGTGAACTAAAGAGTTCTGATGTGTGACTGTTTCTTGCGCTACGTTAATCGTCGTGGGACTGTCTTGACTGTCTGCTGGTGATGCTTGTCTTGTCTTTTTGGGATGCTTTGGAAAACTCTCTCTTGGTGACTGCTGTCTCGGTAATTTTATAAGTTTTATATGTCTACTGATTTATTGGTGTGAAATGCAAGTGGTGGGTGCGTTTTCCTATTGATTGCGAATAATATTGGGGATCTTTGTTAGCTTCGACGTCTTTCTGTGGTGGTTGATGTTTAAACAATTTGGATCTTTATGCCTATCGTCTTATGGGTGATTTATTGGTCCTTGCTAAGGTTTACCCATGTGGTGACTAGGTGATAACGAATGTATACGAATCAAGGGACGCAGGCAATAAGGATATAAACAGTCCTCCACTTGACTAGGGCCGCAACAACCAGAAACCTTTTCGAAATTCACACACTGAATTACATACATTAGGTGATAACGAATGTATACGAATCAAGGGACGCAGGCAATAAGGACATAAACAGTCCTCCACTTGACTAGGGCCGCAACAACCAGAAACCTTTTCGAAATTCACACACTGACCAAGGAACTTATTGTACGTAGAAGAACGAAAAAATTTGCTCAGTTAGATTATTGAAATTTTCCAAAACTTGGAGATCCATGGTTTCAGTGAAGACTAAAGACAATGAAGGCTGTTTCGTATCCCTTGACAGATAAAGCTCGATAAGAAGTGGGGAAATCCGCTGCTGTTTCGCTCCTTCGCGACCGCGATATTAAGTCCGTGGAACGCGGGCCAAAAGCGTTGGAAATGTTTACTCGCGGAGCTAATAAACTCGTGGGCGTATATAAAGCAAGCAATGATCGCGAGGAACGGTTTTATTGGGAAAATTGACAGCGGCCGGCCGCGAAATAGCGGCGCTCTCTGTTTTCACGCGACCGCGTTAAAGGCCGGCAGGAATATTCGATGTAACCAGAGCATCGCGTCCCATTGTTATCCTTCGTAATATCACGGGCTCCCCTACCTCTGTTTTTACACCGGCCATGTGTTTTTCTACCGTTGCAACGTGGAATATTTGAATTTTTGATCACGCGAAACGCTGTTGACGCGCCGATGATTGTTTGGGAATTTCCCCGGGATAATTGCTGATAAACGCGGCCCAGTGATTGTGAAAATAGTTCTGACCTGGAATTTCGAAAAATCCAGTTTGTTTCCTGCTTCGCGTTACGCTCGTCGCGAATCGCGTCTGAAAAATTGCGCCTGCGTTCTCTCTGTTATATAATTGTGGGAGATTATCTTTATCGAGTCCCTCGTAGAAGATTTAGAGGTTTGAGACGTAACAGACGACAACAAGTTTATTTTGACTAGAATATACTCTTACTCGTGATACTCGCAGGCTCTCACTAGACTGTCACTCGAAAACTACCCTCTCAGAACTCTCTCTGTACAACTCCCTTTCTACGACTACTTTCACACCCTGTGTGACCCTCACGCATTCATTCCCCTTCATTCTAATTCTCATCCTCTCTTACTCGATTCATTTTGTCACGTTCACTCAAAATTTCTCTGTCTTCTAAAAATAGTCCTCTTGCACGTGGCACAAGTATTAGGCTAAGATATACATTCGTTCTTTTACAGTCATATCCCAAACACTCTTCGTATTCTCTCAGGACTGTGCCTGCACCAATCTCACATAATTTTCTACGGTTATTTCGAAAGGATTTCGATTGTTCGTATGAAAGTAATTTCGAGCTCGTCCTCCACGATGCTCATTCCGTAATATCGAAATATCGATTACGTATTGACGCGTTACACGATATGGACGATGTGCTGCCTGCATTTTGGCGTAATTTTTGTCGATCCGAATCACAAAAGCTGCCTCTAAACGATAAGCTCCTACTCTCTTTGGGACAGGAATTATGGAAAATATCGGTGGAAAACGTGAAACCATAGTTGCGATATTAAACAGAAAGGCTTCCTCCAAAATTGGAATTATGTTCGATTTATCGCGCGGAAATTGGTAAATCTGCAATCGAACGTATCATTACATCGGTAACATAATATTTTCCACTCAAATTTCAAAATAACAGATAAATAAATTTATTAGAATACGAGAGGTAGAACCGTTGCATTGTTATCTCTGATCCTACGCTTCTTTTGTTAAAAAAGAAACTCTCTTATTGGATCAACTATAAATCGTAATTATTTATTCCTAAAAATATCGTTTTAAGAAATTCTTCTGAGAAATCGTTCTGGAAAATCGTTGTAAAAATTCGGTGTAAAGAATTGTTCTGAGAAATCGTCGCAATCTATCGTTTCCGGTGTAAATCTGATCTCGAGGTCCGCCATCTTTCTAACCAACCCTCGCCATTTTCGCTGTCTCTCACCGTACACATGCTCTTCTGTTTACAGTTTCGACACGAGGGGGCGAAGCAACCTGGAACAAGGAAAACACTGGCAGAATATCAGCCTCGACAAACGTGCCTTCTTCAGATACTCGGAGCATCCCGCGAAACTCACCCTCGAGAACGTTCGTGAGAGCGACGCCGCCGTTTACAGATGCAGGGTCGATTTCAAGCAGTCTCCTACCAGGAACAGCAAAGTCAATCTCACGGTGATCAGTGAGTATTCAGCAGATCGAGATCATCCGTCTCGTGTTTTCGATCCTTCTTCGTTTCCCTGTCCCTTCCGTGGGTTCGCTTTTTCCCCTAGGGATCATTTGCGGCCTACGTTCTAGGGCATTGGTAGTCTAGGGAAATGGAACTGAGTGAATAAGGGTTGCGGTGTTACAATTCACGTAATAGTCCCGTTATTTTTCGTATTTCGAATACGAATACCCGCGAAGCGTGTTTATATTTTGACGACAATCAATTGAGATTTCACGGTGGATCATCGACCGTTAAATTTTAATTGATCGATCGACGAATTAAAGCGTTTCGACATTATTTTCCGATATTTCTGTCACGATTGAAGGAGATTCTAGAGATCGATCGATCGATTAATTAAAGAAATATGGAACTTCTTTTGCACGGTGAAATCGTACCGTGTAAACGAGAAGGAAAAGAACATAAACTGTGCAAAGGGATTTTGTACATAAGAATTTGAGGTTATGCAGCCTCCTAACCTATAAAATTGATTTTTCCTTCAATTATCTTCGTCGTAGGTCATTATTTCTTTTCAAAAGAGACGAGTTCTCGTTGTATAGTCTTTTTCTATTATACTTCACCCCAGTTTTATTTTCTTTCGTCGCGTGCTTCTTACATCGAGCTTCTTTGAACCCTTTTTCGCCGCGTATCCGCGACTGGATGCGTATTTCGCCTGTCCCTTGTGTCTGTCCGTTTCATTCTCCATTAATCTTCTCGTCCTTCCGTTTCTTCTTTGAGTTCCCTGCATCCATTACTTCCTCTTGACACGGTAATGCAATATCTCGCTTTGTCTTTGCTTACTTGTTTATTGCGTTTCCTTTTCTTCCCTAATTCCCCGGTTCGTTTGTGTACACGTCTCCTTTCATTTCTCATCCTCGTCGTTCGTTGTCCCTTCTTTTCGGTATTCCTTTCGATAATAGAAACCTCGCGGTATTTATTATTCGCGTTATAATGTTTTGCGCTTGTAAACATGCGCGACTTGACCGTTTTTCCCTTCCTGTTCCTTGTTACTGCGCTGTTCGCGTGTATGGCCGTCGACCGTGGCCATATACGCGGGTGGCGTATTTTCACGAATCGACCGATAAATTTACGTTGACTCGAATGGGCGTGAAATATGAGAAACACTGAAAACGTGTGAAATAGTTAGAATAGGCTCGAGCGATATATCACGCTCGTAAATTATTGCCTTCGCGTTTCGTTTAAAATTAATTCAAATATTGGTAAGTTTTGGGTCAGTGCGATTTAAAATAACGCGATATTTGATTTAGCGCGAATTATAAAACGATATTAAGGCCGCGTCTAATACTGGCGATAGTTTAATTAACCCCGGGGGTAAAATACGCGTTTTGAAAATCAGCGAACACGTTTAAAGGGTAATAACGTAATAAAATAATATAATATCGTATGGATAGGGGTTCGATTGAAATTTCCTTTAAATTATTGTTGATCCCCGATACTAAAAATTTATGCCGCGAATTCAAATAACGCTATCAATGTTCAGAATCTATTACACGCGCTAATCGAGACTACCTGTGTGTATCTGTGTAGCATCATTCCGAATGAAAGTAGGAATATCAGTCATTTAATTATCGCACCTATTCGGAAATAGAGTACGAGGATTAATTTGAAATAAAGATGGGAAAAAGAAATGAAAATTTTGCCTACTGTGGTAATTCGATGCTGGTTGTGCTACCATCTACGATATATGATCTACAGATAACATCGAGCTCTGTCTTGTGCAAGCAATTCTAGGAAATGGCTTGGTAAATCGTGGCCATGTACGCGGTCGGTACCGTGTTTCTTACCTGTTCCCATATGCATACGTTTGCAATATCCATTTGTTCTTAAAATAAAAATTTCGCGTCTTTGTCTATCTGTTTGCATTCCGTCACAACCCCTGGCGAATTTCTCATATTCCCTTGCTCAACGCTGGCCCGCGTTCCGCCTTATTTCCCTGCTCCCCTGTTTACCCTTTTAATACGTGTACGTAGCGGGTGTGCGGAAAGTCGGAACGTTATCCAAACATGAAAGGAAAGTAAAAAAGAAGTGGAGTCATTCGTATCCCTGTCAGTACACCCAGCTCACGCCCCTTTTCTTGATAAATCCCTAACTTTTCCTCTTACCTACGACCCTCCATTTCTCTTTTCACCCCTCCTTCGACCATTTCCTCTTTTTTCTTCATTTCGCCAATTACGCACACTTTCCGCTTCGAGGTGAAAACAAAACGATACACGAGCTTTAATTTTCTATTTCGCCTTCTTTTTTCTTTTTTTTCCCCCTCTTTTGTTCTTTTATCCGCGACTCTAGAAACGCTTGATTCATCGACACATTTTTCTAAATTTTATCCGAATTCCCATCGAGATTGTAATTTTATTTTAATTTTTGCTTTCATTTATTTCTTCTAATTAATTTTTGTATAATAATTTTCGTGCCTTTTCGTTCCTTTTTTGAACAATACACTGATTTCACTTTCGGGTATAGTTCGTCGCCTTTTTAAAATTTTTCTTGCATTTTTGATTTCATTAGGTCCAGAGGAATTTCATTAAAATTTTTTCTCAGCCCTTAATCTTACCTCCCGTTATCTTTCCCCTTAAAATCGAGAAAATCTCATTTTTTGGCCAATAACTTTCGTAATTTTTCCTCGTTGCAGCATACACCGGCTACCGGCATACTGCGTCTTCCTTTTAAGATCGATAAAATTTAATTTACCGATCTTTTCTTCCTTTTCGTCAAACTTCCATCGCGTAATAATTCTTTTCCAACTTGCCTGGCTGCCATATTACGTAAACTACAATTTTATTTCTGCCTGTTCATTTTTCTTCATACCAAAGACACCTTATTTATTCATGTTTCCCCTAAACTTCGTTTCCCTGATAATTCCGCGAAATTTCCCCGTTGTTCCACGATAGACACGCCGGCTTAATATTTTCTTCTTCTTACCTCGTCGTCGCCTAACCTCTTCACCTATTTCCGTTCCGTCTCCCTCTAGCTAAGCCTGCACTCCGCGTCTTCAACCCCTGTCTCGTGCCCACCCTTTGATCCCTTCGGAGTTGATCGAGGCTTGCCAGACCGCTTCCCGCGATTAGCTCGAACAAACAGAGAGTGGATTCGGTCTTCTTGACCTGGATCTACGGTTCACCGAGCGACGATTAAGAGGAGTTTTATCTGAAAGTCGTCAGGGATCGGGAGAAATACGAAATTAGATTGGCGATCTCAGGGCTCGGCGAAATCGCGGCATCCATGTCGGCAATATCGATAAGTAGATTCGAACCCTCGCGTACAGGGGTTCGTTGTCGCTCAAAGGAACTCGTTTCCCGCCTGTTTTCTCGCTGGTTAATCGACGATGAGGAAATCCGACGAGAATTTAACTCGCGCGTCGTTTTCTTCCAGTTTCTCCGCCATTTCTTCGCTTCTTGGAATTTTTCGCAAATTTTATTCCAGATTAAACCCCCGCCTCGTACGTCTCGCGTGTGGCGTAAGAGGGCAGTTGAAATTGTAACGAAGGTTAATTTAATTATTAAATGAAAGGAGTCGGGAAATAATTATGAAGTTTGCGGGTAATTAAGGAGATGAAGGAAACAAAGTAGAAGCCCGGAGAATGGCGAGAGTTTATGGCAAATGTTTAAAGAATTATCGAAATTGTTGACGTAGTGTGACGATATTAAAATGATGTATAGATAGTTAAGCGAAATTACCGTGGCATTAATTAACACGTTCGCTGCGTCCTGCATCTCATATGTGGGACGTAAATTAACACTAGAACTACTGACCCGTAATGCCTAGCTAAATACGCTATACGCGAATGATAATAATTCCTGCACTACAATCGAAATAAATAGGCGTATATAATCATGTTTCTGTCTGAGTAAAAATCAACGTTAATTTTCACGAAATTGATTTCGCGTTTTTAATAATCGCTGATATAATTATTTAATAATTCTAGTCTTAAATGTATAAAAATTACGACGTTTTGGATTTAAGTTTCGCGATAATTTGTTTAAAATATTGGTACATAGAGCACGAAATTACGAAAACAGATCTTGTATGACGATTAATCGTTAGTGTAGAACACAGCTAATGAAAATTCGATTAGCAGTGAACGTATTAAGGCCCTATTACATCGACAAACTACGACAACGAACATAATTCATTCATGTCTAACTCCATCCCTATCAACGAAATCCCAAATCGTACTAAAATCCACCATCGACTAAACTAATCGCTGCATCCAACTGGAATCCTCGTAATCCATGCACGTGTTCCAATCATGCGAAGATTTCTGTAAATTCGTCTATAAAGACCCATGCGAAGATGAACGACGATGTAAAAGATAATTTCTCCTCTCTCCGGAGAAAATTTCTCTGCAAAGTTTTATTACGCCCCGTGTTTCGAGTGCAATATATTTTTTAAAAGTCGCGAGGGGAATTTTATTCTATTCTTCAATCGAAATTCGCGGCACAATTTGAACGCGAAATAATTATGGAAAACTATATCGCGTAGCGTGATTTCCGCAGTCAGCGATTTTCGATCATCTACGATATTTATACCGAAGAGGAAAAAAGATGGTAAGCAGGCAGATGGACCATTTTGCCGTGCAATTTGTTGCTGCAAACACGCCTGTTTAGTTTTTCGTACGAAACTTGCAGAGTCTCTGAACACGCTTCGCTGTTACCCAGCCAAGCTCAAATTTCACGAAAATTATTTTTCGCGAGCGAGAATAATTCTAAACAAATGCTCGGAGCAAGAAAATGATAGTGTAGCAACGCAACCCAAACATTCGGAATCTTTTGGACGGATTTTAAAACTTAAAAACCGTACAATTCAGCGAAATAAATATTCATTCACAGACCATGGGGAAATACATACATTGTCTTCGAGTAATTTATAAAGTAACTTCAGAAAGCAGTATCAACTATTCCATCCAGATTTATAATAATTCTTTATATAATTATAAACAATCATTCCCCTCTCATTAGCATATATATTTTCTTTTATTCTAATAATTAGTAATAAGTAGTAGAATTATAATTATATATAACAAACGATTATTTATAATTATATTTCTATTACTGTCAGTCAGTATTTTACAATTATTTATTTATTTTATATACATATGTTCCAATCGCAAAGAAGAGAAGGTCGCAAATGAAAAAATTTAAGAAACCTCCCCCCCCCCCCCATTTAAGATAATGTAACGGTATGCACGGTATAGAAATCAAATAGTTCTACATGTTAATTATTATACAATTTCTTTTTTACTGTTGGAAAAAATATCGTTAATTTTATAGCAGAAAATCTTTGAACTCCTGCTCATCTTTAGCCAAAAAATCGTCGAGTGCAGGGGGTTAAACGCAAACACATATATGTAACAAACATATTTACATATATATAAATATTTATTTATATACATTTCTCTTTATCACAACCACTAGTAAAAGTGTTCCACCGATACCACGGGCGGGGCCGATAAAATTTCGTCTCGCCAGAAAGCACACCCTTATCTCCACACCCTGCAACCCCCTTCGTCCGGCTAGAAAAACAATTTACATATCGCGCCGCTTCTTAAGCTCGGCACAGGGCGGTTACGGGGCGTCAGATAAGAGCGTCAGCCACGACACAACATCCATGGTGTCTCTCGGATGCCTGTCGCACGACGAACCCCGTAATTCATCGCGTTGCAAATTGATTCGCCTGTTCCTCCTCGTGGTCCTTGGTCGTTCCCCGGCGAACGAGCACGACGCGAGCCGGCGAAGGGGTGAGGGCTCGTGGGTCGTGGAAAAACGAAGGGTGGACGGACTCTCATTGTGCGAAATTATTACAGTACCGCCGGAGCAGCTTAGCATATTGGACGAAGACGGAAGGTCTCATATTTCCTATTACGTGCTTGGCCCGTACACCGAGGGTGCCTCTCTGAATATTACCTGCGTCGCTGCTGGTGGTAAGTACTCGCGTTTCACTTACCCCCTATACGTGTCTCTCTCCATCCCCGTTCCCCCATTCCGCTCGATCGACGTTCCAGCTCCGTTGTGTCGCTTGTCCGTGTGCAAGCTTCTCTCTCCCGCAGCTTTTCTCCCTCAGAGTTCCGCTGTTTGGCCCTTCCCGTGATCATTCACCTGTCTACACCGGCTTTTTGTCCCCGTCCAAACTCGTGGTCTTCGTTTTCCGTCAACGATTCCCTCGGACAACGAGAATCATTGACCGTTTCTTGGATAATCTTTTCATTTTATCTGTTTTCGTTATCGAGTAGGTAATTTTGACGATGGGTCGTGGCAACAATTGTTTTATGGTAAACGAGATATTTAATCCACGCGTTGCATCCAGCTGAAGATACCAATTAAAGAAAATTAGGTGTTTCGCAAGGAGACTCCTTCTGTAACCTGGTTCCATTTACAACGCGTCCCCTTGCACCATTCCATTCGTGCAACACCCGCTACTTTCCCCTTTACACTCCGAGACTTACCCCTTTATTTCGTCTTTCCCTTCTCCAGTGCAATTTGCCTCTTTGACACTCGACACACGACACGTTCGGGTAGACTAGTTTCTCCGAACTAAGATTCAGCACAAAGCATCTGTATCGACGTGTTGGCCTCCTTTGCTTCTCCTAACACTATTGCGAACCTGGTACTACTTTTAACTAATTTTATTATCGAGCAGTTCGTCTCTTTCTCTAAATTTTTTGACGTTCAATAAGCAAGACTCGCGGTATTGGAAAAATATTGACCGAGCAATCTCTCGATGCATGCTTGCAATAGGTCAAAATATTTGCGGTCAATTTTTCAGGAGAACGTGCATTAAAGAGTAAGGAAAATTGATTTTGTAATTGCTTTTTTCAGAGACCTTCATCGAAATCGAATATAAAGGGTGTGACACGTAATTGCCATACATTTTCTGCATAGTAAATTATAGAAGTTTGTAATTTCGATTATTTTTCGTCGCAATTTTTACACGTTATTTGAGGAAGCGTAAATTCGTCTCAGAAAATAGGTCGAATTTTCGTCTCCGTCATTTTCACGTCTCTCTCTCCCTCTCTCTCTCTCCTGTATTCTCCGACCGACTGTTTTAAAGCAGAATTTATTAGCCACGCGTTTTAAGAATTTCGTCTCTGTCATTTTCACGTCTCTCTCTCCCTCTCTCTCCTGTATTCTCCGACCGACTGTTTTAAAGCAGAATTTATTAGCCACGCGTTTTAAGATAGCAACTTTATGTCCCGTCGAATTTGCATGCGAAAAGCTACACCCTTGCATTCCACGTTTCCTCTCTTTACGCGTTCTTCGTTTGCCTCAGCTGTAAGGGTGGAACTGCGTGCGATCACGAGGCGTCCAGGTGTCTCTCTCAAAGCGAAGCTCGCTCGAGAAAAATGCGCTTTAAATTGATTAATCGAATAAAAAGGAACCTTACGTCGGTCGCCCGTTTTTACTGCCAGCGTATCTTACGGCTGGCCTTTCCTCTATTTACACCCCTCGCGGTCGTTCTTTCTGAAAAGAAATTTGCGCTTCGTTTATTCCCTCGCTTCCGTGCGCTTCTCGTGTGGTCTACGTGTCTGCTCGTTGTCACTGAAAATACTTGAGGCAACGTGCTAATATATCCTCCAATTTCTTCCGTCCACCCCTTCCGCGAAATTGTTTAATTGCACGGGAAATTTCTCGTCGTTCGTTCACTCAAATGTTTTTCATATACGCGCAGGGTGGTTCATTTAAATCGACACAGCGAAGTCTCCAGTATATAAGTGACTTAAAAACAGATACTAGCTTGTGAATTTTATTATTTCAGTTTCTCTATTATCTTCTCGTATCTTGGTAGCTCGAGATACGAAAAGGCACGTGACACTTTTGTTTTATTTTAATTTAAATTCGTTGCCTAAGAAATTTCTTATTCCGTTCATTTAAATGGGATACCCTATATGTATATGTCTGACGAGTGATATAATTAATCTTGCCTATAGCTACAACAATCTCGATTAATAAAATAAAATAAAATAATCAATAAAATTGTTAGAAAATTGGAAATTACTGTGAGGTGGAGAGCAACGAAGGACTCTATCTGGAGAATAATAAACTGCGGCATCGGCTTTGACTTAGAGAGAGAGAGAGTTTTGTAAGAATATATAAGATTAAGGGAGCTCCGATAAGGCCGTGTGAGTGAGGAGCACGAAGCAGTGATAACCGGATAATCCGATATTTCGGATTTCCCAAATCGAAACGGCGATCCGCTTGATCCACGATCAATGAACAAAGGAGGCCCATCCTTAAAAGTGTTGGTCCAGAAGCGTACGAGGCAGTTCGGGGACAGTTCTTAGACAGTGCTGAAACAGTTCTTTGAGAGTCAGTTTTCCTGAGAGACGAAACTATGACAACCTCATAGCGAAAAGAAGAATATCGAATCGGCCACAGAGAGTTAGACTTGTGACCTAGCCCTAGCTTAGTTCAACCCCCCTTACAGTTTTGATTTTAAGCAAGGGTGCAAGGACCTGGACGCGGCAGATTGCGTGTAGTCGAGACGTAGAGAATAGAGGATCTTGTGTTTGAGAGTTAAAATTGAGAGGAACTTAGTGTAATACATTAATTAAATAACTGTGGTAAAGTATCGAATTTATAGAGATTTAACTTTAAACTTTGATTATATTTTATTCTCTTACAATACAAATGCGCAGAGACTTGCGCGATGCGTGATACAAACGGTAAATTGTCGAAAGAGAGTGTGTTCCCTCGAACCCTTCTGCCAGGTTCTTATAGGCCCTATGACAACCCATTGCGTCACTCAGTCCTGCTTCGAAAATTGATAATCTTGATGGTTCCTCGAAGCAAACATACATCCCGATGCAGGGTGACGCCATCCAGTTTTATTATTAAAAGGGAGTTGTTGTTTATTAGACGCGCAGGTTTCGGTTTGCATAGGATTAATCTAACTAGAAATCCTACATTACGTTATTATTAATTATGTCAATAAGACATTGTTAGGAATCATCTGCAGTTAATCTAAACAACTCGTCAGCTCGTCCCTCCGAAGCGGAAAGCACTCGATTTCGCGATTATTCCCTCTCGTAGCCCAATTTTTACTCTCGTCGATATTTTTGATCACGTTCCATTTTGCGATCGCACGCAACGCGATCGACGCTTAATCTCTATGTAACGCGAACGACACGCGATCCCCGCGCGAGAAAATTCCCATCAGCCGAGCAGCCGGAAGTTGATCGCTTCGGGGAGAGGGAAGTATGATTAAAATGAAAATTTAATAGTGCCGGATACCGGTAAAGAAGATGAAGCACACGGCCGTGCATCGCGTTGCCCGTTGCTGTTTTCGCGGATATACTCGTTGCGTGCATACCGGGTGGTCTATCTAACTTGCCAATTTCCGAGTGTTCTCGAATTATTCTCCGTTTATATTCGATATAAAATTTACGCGATCTCAACGCATCGCGAATTAGATATTTCCTTGTTAAATTTACTCGGTAAATTTACCCAGCAGCAAGTTGTTTTACAGCTCTTCTTGTTCGATAGAAAATATGAGATATGGCGGGTAAACCTAAGCTTAATGACCATTCTGGAACTTTTAATTAAAAATTTTACCCTCCAAGTTATTGCTTCGATCACTTGTCTCGTGAGGAATTTTTAAATGGGGAAGGAAGCTTGAAACTGATCTTACCGGAATGATAAAGTGGAATTGTTAACAAAAATAACTTTCATTTTATTAATAGATCCTTCATCTTAACCCACGGGGTCTCTTTCGTGGTCCAGGTTCCTACGCGAGTTTAATACCACCGATCGAATCGGTGATTAATAACGTGAAATTTTATTATAAATTATAAACTCGCGTTAATTCGTCTCCCCAATCTCCATAACAATGATATTTCCATTCATCCTGTGATTCACTTTTTGACCAAGCATATCAAAAATTGCTGCAATTCTTTTGACATAAATTACATATACGATACAAGTATAAAACAGCGTGTTAAATCGGGTTTAAAATGGAACGAAATAATTGAAACTTTTTTATTATCGAGGAAACATTCATTGGCCGAAAACATTTTGTCGGGGATAGTATTTTCCCCGAGGTTATACAAATTTTATCCCATATATTTTTTCGCGCAAGGAATAATGTAAGAATAATTTAACGTCATCGAGTTAGATGAATCACCCTATATACCTTCGCGCGCGCGCGCGTTTATCTTGGCCGTCTTCTCCATTTGCGTACCCACCCCTTCCGAGGTGGCACGCGCACCCCTACAGCGTAAAGATCTATAAACAGGCGCGCGAGTGGTACAAGAATGTCTGAGGACGTTGAGAAAAGTAGAGATTGTAAGGTATCTCGTCTGGCAAACAGAAAAAAATTTATGTCCCGGGGTGAGATATGTAGCGAGGGAAGAAGGTTCTGAGTAAAACGATTTATTAACCCGTTGTCTTGCGACCTCTTTTTAATGGCCACGTTTGACGAAGTGTGCCGTTTAGCTGCGGCAAGTAGAGCCAGGAGACCATTTCGAGCCGGTTACTTGCCTTCGAGATAATTTCCAACCGATTTTCTGATATATCCACTATTTTTAAAATTACTCCATTCTCGCCCCGGCCAGCGCCGAATGTCTCGCAATTTTTAAACGATCTCTTCGCGATATTAATTCGTTCTTGGTCCACCCTGCCGAGTATCTCGTAACTTTTAAGTGGTCTTTTGGAATATTAATTTAGTTTTGCATTTTCTATGGTTTTGCGAATGTTTCATAATTTTAAAGTGAACTTGTGGAATATTAATTCGTTGTTTTATCGTCTCGTGAATATCTCGTAATTTTAAAGTCCTTTTTTGGAATATTAATCCGTTTGCTCTTGTATCGTGTTACGTTTGTCTGACGAACGAGTGTCGAAATTTCTGTACGCCTTTTAATTTAGAACTTCCTTGGAAATTTGCTAATCGCGAATTCTTGTATTAAAGACTTGGGGTATTACAAGTTTTTCTGTTTGATATTTATGACAAATAATAATATTGGAAACTCCCTTGTCACGTTAAACAATGTACTCGATTCGAGAACACGATTTTCATCGTATCGATCAGGATAGGATAGCGTGGAACATAAATTGTTAATTAATTCTTCGTGTTCGGATCTCGCATGCAGTACAATCTTTGAGTTACGATATCGGAGTGAAATGGTAATGGGATTCATCTGTGATATTCATGCACAATTTGTATTCTACGAAGAAGTAGAAGAGGAAATATCGAAACAGATAGGAGCAGGGTCTAACTATGTCTAACTACTCCAACTTGTCTGATTATATATGGAGCTGTACTACTCAAAGGGAATAATGGTTGGTAGAAGCATTATGTCTATATACATGGAAATCATTCCATTGTGAAACGATCCACCCATTATGCTGTAATTGATTCCTTCCTACGAATTGAAATTAATTTTCATTCCTTTTTCTACTTATACTTTTCATTCGATATTCCATACACCGTTCTTTCTACGATAAATTTTGTATCGCAATGTGAAACGTTTGGAATATTCTCTTTCTTGTTCCTTTTCCTTTGAATAACATCGTTTCGTAAAATATTAAATAATAAATCTAACCCTGAGTAAAATAATATATCGCGTAACGTAGTCCGCATGTAGTACAAGACCGCTTTGGTCAGACGTGCGGTAGTACAAGTGTTTATTTCTAATAGAGCCAATGCAAATCCAAGTTTCTACCAAAGAATAGTTAAAGTAATTCTCAAAATTTGTCAAATTTTCAAATTTTCATTCTGTAATTAAGAAGTGTACTACCATTCTAACCAACACTTTTATTATTTCTCTTCGCTAATGCCACTACTAATACCAGACTTCTCCAACCTCATTCATTACAAAGCCATAGAACTTCCATTAACCCAATTATTTCCGTCAACCACTCGAAACAACCTCAATCGTTCTCCACCACCAAAACAGATCCAAACACCATAAACTCTCCTCCAGTTACTCTCTCGAGCAGTCCATACCTTCGTCAAAGGCGTGCTACACGACACCGCGTACTTGTCAAGGCGGGTTCGCACGCCGGCGACGTTTAAACGAGCCGCAAACCGCGTCTCGTGGCTTTCCGGACGTTTCCTCGCGTTTATTATTTGCGATGGCGTATTTATTTATAAGAAATTGCGGGCTCAGTGCTCGCGGCCCATATCCTCGAGTGTCTCTTTAACCGACGAAACGTTATTGCTCGTCGCGTGCTGCAAAATATTTCGCCCACTGCCGTTTTCCACCGTGAAATTACCGCTTAACGCCCCGTTACTGTAATACACCATTCCACCCTGTCGTTTGTTGCCATTCCCGTCGAAATGGCCGCGGAAATTCCTACGCTAGTCCAGGTGACAGCAGGAAAATCGCCATCGCAGTGTAACCTCGAGGGAAGCTAAAAACCATAATTTCTCTACTCGTTTAGATGATGGGCTGGTTTCTAAACAACTGTTTAAATCAGTATAATAAATTTATTCGAGGATCTCGTTGATTAATTCTTCGTTGTTCTCTCCATTGGGTTTGTTAGAAATGAAAAATTGATAAATTAATAGAATTAAGTAGAATGGTTGTTTAAATACTCTGGATTGTAGAAAATATTATGGAGAATTTGTGTAATAGATCTGTGAGAGGAATTAGGATCAGTACATATCATATGTTACATTTGTTGTATTTGTTTTAAATTATTCTTATTTTTTCCTTTCGTTTCTCGAAGGTGTGTGGAGACTTATTTGGGAATATTATAGCAATCGTTCTACTAATGTAGGGTATTTTAGAAATGTATTTAGATAACGAGATTGTAGATAGGAATTGAATATAGAATATTTAATTTAATTTGCAAATTAAATATGATCCGCGAGTAGATCTGAGTTTTGTTAACGAAAAACCAGTTAAGTAATGTTCCTACAATCTTTAATTTTAATTTTTATGCGAACCTGCCGACATCCCTATTTCGTCTCAATTAAATTTCCAATTTAAATACTTCTTTTGAACCTAGGTATTCATCTTCACGGTATACCTTGTCAACATTTAACGTTACAATATTTCCACTGAACATCGTCGTCAAATATTAAGTTATCCAATAAGTATTATCGGATTTTTACAGTAAATACTCCCTCGTATTTAATACCAAGCAGTACCTTTGATATATCAAACATAACAGCGTGGAATAAAATACAAGGTACAATAAAAGCTTCTTTATTTCAAAGAAAATGTCTATTTAAAATTAATATTTAAAAACTCGCTGGTTCAAAACCAACTGGAATATTCATCCTCTAAAGCAAACGTGTATCATTAGTGATAAAAATTATTCAGGGCGATTTGTTCGCGAATATCCACTTTGTCCGGCCGAATCGTGGAAAACTCGACTGCATCGCGAGGTGAAAATTCGAGGCGTTATTAAACCATTTCGAGAATTCTGTTACCCGCTAATAGCCGGCAAACATTTTCACCCCCGGTTAACCCTGACTTCGATACCCCGTTCGATATCATTCTTTGCACGTCGTTTAATCATCTCCAGTAGTCGTATCCACGTGCCTTTTTCGACTGTTCCTCACCCCTGCTATCTCTTGATTGGACCAACATGCGTAAACAAACGCGCCGGGCAAAACAGGCAGGGCCAGAGAGGGAAAAAGAAGGAAAATACATAGAAGCGAGTGGAGATCCGGTTCTGTGGTCGGACACGGAAAAATATCGGACGGAAATTTGAAATTCCTATTTTCAGCGCGGCCGTTCATTCGCCCCTTTAAATATTTGTATCGCTCTCCTTGTTTATCGACGAGGAGAAAAAGAGACGAACGACAACGCAAATACGGGAAACTCATTCGACATACATATATTCTTTTATTTTTCCTTCTTTTTTTTGTGGTAGTTGCAAATCAAAACAGGAGACGAATCATTGATCCTGATTCGTGAAAGTTGCTTTATGGGAGTTAAAAGAGATTTTATTTTTGTGGTGCTTGTTAGCTGACTTCGGAGTTTCAACCACGCTTTGAGAGAGTGAGGGAATTTTTCGGGGTAATTTCGAAGCGATTTTTGTTCGTTCAGCGAAATCAGAGAGTCATAGAAATATCGTGTAACATATCTGTTTATCGTTGCTTATGAATTCGCTGTGTTACGATGAACAGGGAGGCTCGTGAAAATCCATAACATATCGATATTTCAGTATTTATGGAAAGTGAGCAAAATATTCCTTTGTTCTGAGAAGCACGATTCCGGTCCGCCTTGTTTATACACGATCTTTGTGTATTAATCACTGAAATTCAATAAAGAGATCGAGAAACATCTAAACAGAAGTAGTCTGTAAAATATCAGTCTCCTCTTGCACGCGAAACTTGCAGGACAATTAAAACATCCCACACGGTACAAAGAATAGACCCTAAAAATTGGATGATCGAAAAAAGAGCCAATCCTATAAAGTACCCTTCTTCCACAAAGCTTCTGAATTCTAAAAACCCTCGACGAATCTCCTCTACCAGTTCTCGCGAAACTCTTATCACTCAGCCATACTCGGAATAACTCTGATCGCTGGAACATGCACGTATCACGAATCTAATTCGATTTTCGAACCGCAGCTGCGTACGGAACGTGGCAAAATGCGTTCGAAAAATAGAGAAAGCAGAGAGAACCGGGGGGAGCCAAGAGAAAACGGGACGAGACAAAAAGTATCGGATATATCGAGCTTTTATTGAATTCTTTTTTCTCTTCGACGGATGGAACGGGCGTAGCGAGTGGAGACGAGGCACAAATCGACACCGGAAACGAAAGAGTGGTTCGCGAACGTCGTTCATTCTGTTTCGTTTTGAACAGGTCGACCGCAACCGCGGGTGACGTGGTGGCAAGAGAACGCTCTCCTCGACGACACCTACGAAACCGTCGGCACCAAGAGGGTCCGCAACGTGCTGCGATTGGAAAAGTTGAGCAGGGAACACCTGAACGCCATTTTAACGTGCCAGGCGTCGAACAACAACATGGTCGCCCCTATATCCAGCTCTGTCACGCTTAATATGACTCGTGAGTATATAGTTACAAATATAGACACTGTTTCTCGGGTTGACCACTCTGTACTGTGTGTGCTTCGCGAGAAGTCCTGTGAAAGAAATACAGGTTTAATCATTCCACATGAAAGTGTGTTGCGGAGGTTTTAAGACGATTTTTCATTTAACTCACTAGCGCCACCACGGCTCATAACTACGGTAAACGTGTGTTATCGTAATATCGTACGTACCGTTAAATTATTTCCTAACTTTTTTCCGACATATTGTTTGTCAAATTACCAGTACTCGTATACTCTCTGTTAGGTTTATTAAAAGCACTCAACTTATCCGAAACGATTATAAATTTCGCTGCAAATCGATCAATCAAATTTCAAAACGTTTTCACGCGTTCTAATGAAATTCGTTATACTATTTACGGCTTGATAAAACCGCCGGGATGTTTCCGCTGTCAGAGTTCGTTCGATATTTACACGCGCGTTCTATAACAAATATAAATGCTTCACTCCGGCACACTAATACACGCGGCATTCATATTATTAAAAACGAATCAGAACGAAAGTCACGAACTCGAAAACACGCAGTGTACACACGCGGAGTCACGATTGCCTCGTGCAGAAAATAGGGAAAAAAAATGAAAAAAAAATACGGAAAAGGGATACATTCAGTGCGCTTATTACTCCATCAGAGCAAACACTGGCCTCGCAGCGAGCCGAAAGCCTATTTCGCCATCGAACTATCCACTTCTCTCCCGCCAGAAAAAACCCCAAAAAGATAACAAAAAAAAAAAAACCGTGTTTAAACAGCACTTGATAAAATCGAGTCTCGAACCCGCCGTTCTATCCGTGAAGCGAATGTTTAACGAATAATTGAACGAGACCGGATCGCTAAAATCGTGTTCGACATTGGAAAGTTGCTCGAACGCTTTCCATTAAACGGCTTCAAGCAGTCTGCAACCGATGGAAACGATTACTCAAACACTCGACCTTTCCATAAGCGCGGCGGTATCTTGTCTGATAGTTCTTTCGAGCAGGGGGCTAATGGATGGTACGCGTGTTTCAGTGAAACCATTGTGGGTCCGCATGCAAGGAGAGAACCGTCCATTCAGCGCAGGCGCTACCTACGAGATCGACTGCGAAGTAGTCGGCGCGAGGCCAAAACCAACGATCACGTGGTCCAAAGGAAGCATGATCCTGAAGAACGCTAGACAGACGGTAAGGCTCACACGTTCGCCAATATGGCGGCTATTAGTGGTCGTCGGTGATCTTTATTTTCACCCTTTAATCGGGAATGACGAGTTAGCGCTAGATTTACGGAACCCGTCAATTTGACGGATGGGTTGCTCCAATTATACGATGGTAACAGATTTAGTCAACTTATATTAACCCTTTCGATACGGAGGAGCTGGCCGCGGTTATACATTCGTGGTACGAGGAAGTTTTCCACAAGAGTGGTTGCACTGGAAGCCACGAAAACGTGTTTTGCATTATTCATAGAAATCTCGAGCGTGATTGACACTAAAATTTTCATTCGGATCGCGAGTCATCGGTGACGTTTCGTGGATGCCACCAATAGGCGATGGTAGTACCTAGAGAACGTTTCATGGCCGCCGTCATTGGGCGGCAGTAGTACCGAAAGGTTTAAGACTGTTAATATAATATATAATTGCTTTTAAATTAAACTAATCGTTAAAATAAAAGGCACGTGGTTTCCATTACCCGTCAATTTGACAGGTGCTCTTAGAAATAAGTATACAGATAGCGTCCGTAAACCTAGCGTTAAATCGTTCAAAAATGATTTAAATTCGGAAACGGCAAATATACTTTATTCGCGTTCTTTTATTGTCGCCATGATGGCAGGGTATTGTTTAATGTTCCTTATAAGATTTTGGCGAGTTTGGGATTTGTTATAAAATAAGATACGTAAACCTAGCGTTAAATCGTTCGAAAATGATTATTTAAATTCGGAAACGGCAAATATACTTCATTCGCGTTCTTTTATTGTCGCCATGATGGCAGGGTATTGTTTAATGTTCCTTATAAGATTTTGGCGAGCTTGGGATTTGTTATAAAATAAGATAGAAATGACGCTATGAAAGACGGTTGATCTTCGTTTGAGAAATATTCTAAGGTATTGATTTTTAATTTAATTTTTAATTAAACTCAATTTTTATTTCGATTATTTGCCCCTTCGTCGAAGAATGTTTATTTTCGAGTTGCTCGTTGTTTAACGACTGTCTGTGTTTATTAGAGTCACGATGAGTTTTAACTTTAATTAACTCGACTTCGCGAGTTTCCCGTAGCTCCTGCAGAATGCGTTTTTGATGAGGGAACTAACTGGTTAAAGGGTTAATCCTCTGCGGACTAGACTGCAGTCACGCAAAAGTGTACTCTGGAAGATGCAAGCTTTGTACGAGGAATTTAGGACAGTAATAAGACAAATTGTCCCGAAAAAATTTTATACATGGGTGCACAATGAACTATTGTATTTCTAGTTTATTAGTTAAACTGTTATCGGGTTGGAAAGAAAGAACAGGTAAGATCGAGATCATTAGAGTGTAGAACATTTCTCGTGATACGCCGAGTGTTCAATCGCGAGTTCAGATTGAATATTCGTTAAATCATAGCGAAAATGACACGAGCTCTAATAAAGGCTAGGACAATGACGTATGAGGATCGATTGATAAATCGTGCTTTTGAACAGCAGGCAAATAGGGTATGACGATCGGGATCGAGTAGAGGTTGGACGTGATTGTTTACCGAATAACCGAGCGTTGTTAAACAAAGAAATTAAAGAGCTTGCTTGATTAATTGAGTCGGTTGCTGGTGGTGCTTTGATTGAAGCATGTCGCATGACTTGATTATGGGGTTACCGTTGTGTAGAAATTAATGACGTTTATTTAGCGCCATTGTATTTATTATATCATTCTCCAATTATTCATCTGCGAATATAAATATTAAATCGAATGCATGTCAGAGATTGGGAGCAATTGTCTCAATTTATCTCCAACTTCTTACCCACATTTTTCTGAATATTTTACAAAGCCCCTAATTTTTCTACTTGCAAAATACTTCAAACCGATCTCCAATCTGTCTTTCAACCAAAATACTCCCAACTAATTCGTTATAAAGTTTGATACAGTAGAACGTCGATTATCCGAATTAATTAAGAGACAAATCTTTTTCGAGTAAATGAATATATATTTAATAAGAGAAATACAGGATAAAAATTACATATACAGGTATCTCTAGCAGACTGCTAGCGAGTGTGAATATATGAGAAATCCTAATTATTTCGCTTTCTTTTAAATAAAAATTGGTATAAAACCGTGTAGCTGGAGTGCTGTCTATCTCAAGGGATACCTGTGAATGAAGTATAAACATTTATACACCATCCACGTTATTTCTACTTAGTTCTACTTGTTCTAATCCAATACGCACTTTGTACATTCGCGCGTTGCGATAATCGACGTTGCACAGCAATGTCAATTTTTCTGCGCATGGAATACCCCATAGGAAAACGCATCGAGGCTGCTTCCGAGCACTCCGGCAACCCGGAAACCTTAACAAAGCTCTCAATCTCTGCTCCTCCATCGATCATAACACCGACGATGACTCGTCCGCGATAATTTCTCTTCGACGTAAATTTCCTCTATCGCCGTGGCACTCGAAGGAAGATGAGAGGTCGGTGAAACAGATTCGCGGCTGGGTGGCGTCAAGGGATTTAATTACGTCGCGGGAAAAAAAGAATCCTCTTTAGGCGAAGAATCTCGCGGTAATATCTCTGGGTCTGTGAAAGATCCGACGTGGCGTGGCCAATATTTTGCAAGCGACCGCGCAATTTCGCCACGGGAAGCAATCACGCTAAGTCCGCAGCCTTCGTTCCCTCATGCCCGCTCCCTGTCGCCGGCTGATCCCCGGAGGTTCGACTTCCGGCGAGCCGACTTCCGTCGGCGGCCTGATTCAGCCCAGGGCCAGCGTTTGTTTTTTCTGCCGCGGATCGGTCCGCGCCAGTTCGGTAAACTGTTTTAAATTCATGAAAGCTATCCCGCAGATGAGCCCCGACAACAACGTCACCACCAGCGTGCTCACGTTCGTGCCGAGTATCGAGGACGCGGGCAAGTTCCTCTCCTGCCACGGCAGCGTGCCGAACATCCCGGATTCCGAGATGGAGGACGGATGGAAGCTCGACATACACCGTGAGTGTGTTTTCATTGAAATTTCATAGAGACGATCAGATCAGCGGAAGAGAGCCGGCCTCTGGCGATATTTCCTCGGCCACAGCTGGCCTCGAGGATCTGCTGCAGGCTGGGATACACCAGGCTAACGAAACAGGTCCATTAGCTGTTTCAGAGACACGTGTCGTGATTGCTTCGTGTCTCATATTGCTTTCAAAAGGGTTTGGATTAGGTTTGGCAGTGATGCAGATGGAACTCCGTGTGGTGGCAGCTTGGAGCAGGGTTTCTCAACCTTTAACGCGGTTTTTGTTTCCTACAAATTTGTGTTTACGAGAAATATAGTTATCTGTATTGTATAGTATATACACGTCGTTATGCTAGGGGTCCAATGAAATTAACGCGTTAATTAATTAACACGGCTCTGTTCGGAACTGGCCCAGACTTGGATCAAAAGGTGCTAACTTTTGGTGTTAAATTCTTCGTCATCTTTGGATCTAACGATTAGGAATTCCTGTTATAACAATTGGCATAGTATCTCCGAGTTTTATGAACACCACTGGTGGCACACTTGACGGCCTAGTTTGGGCCTGCACGGAATGACAAGCAAATCGGGCTAGGCACTTAACGTGTTAATTCGATGGACTAAACCTGTACTCATTTATGGAGTTCGTGGCCTGACACACCTCCTGTCTTTTCACCTTAGGAATCCTGTGGGACCGTACGATCTTGGTTGAGAAACCCAGGTTTAGACCAGTTTTACGATATTGCAATTTTTTGAGACCAGGAGTAACGAATAACGATCTGTTTTTAATCCCATATAACATTGTATATAGCACAGGAATTTTCAGCCTCGGGTATGAAGTTAAGATACGTCAATCACCATCCTGAAGATAGTAATTCTCTTCGACCCTTTGGAAAATTCCGAGTCAGTTATTAAACCACTATTCGCTGGGGATTGATATATACTCTATTGATGTATACTCTATTTATTGAATTAAGATGCAGGAGAATTAATCGTAATTTTTTAATTATACGAGGATTAACAGGGAACCTAGTCCTGACCGATGCCTAATCCCAACCTTATCCAACGTAGCGAGGAATAAGAAGGATGGATAAGTAAGATGGAAAGGACGTGGAGAAATTTGTGGACGATATCTAGATTACGCGAACCGGGAGGGTTCCATGGCCAGATCTGGAAATCTGTCTAGTTTCCCGACAGGCAGGAATTCGGAGATGGCCGGGTCCGGTTTTTGCAGCGTCTCGTCCACGGGGAAACACGGCCACGCGGCTGTCCAATAAAAATGAAATATCGTTGATGAGCGATTTATTGCGCCGTCGCGTGGAGCGTAATTTAATTCGCGTAATCGATAGAGCAACGCGTTTACGAACGATTGTTTCGCTCTGTGAAATGGCTTTCCTGAAGTTTGCCCGTCGACGACCGGACAGGGGCTCTAATGCAAAACGCGTGTCGTCGCGGCGTCCATTCTTTCAGTCAACTTTCCCGGTTCAGGGTTTATTTGGATTAATTAAAAATTTTAATTAATTCTTTCGAGGCTCCGTAGAGACCCCGAATGGAAAGTTCACCGTAGGTCCAGGAACCGGCGGTAAGTTGAACCCGTCGCAGTGTGCGAGGAGGAAAACGAGGGAGGTAAAACCTGAGGGCTTTGGGAAATTATTATTGTTATAGGGAATCGCTGGATGCTGCGAAGTGTGTAACGAGACGTATTTCGCGACGAAGGAACACGGGGAAATAAATCTGTTAATACGGAAATTAAATAACACGATAAAATGGAGTAGGAGAGAGAGAAATAGCAGTGACAGTATTTTCGAATTGTAGAATTAGCAAATTTCCAAATATTTTAATTTCAAAGCTTAGAAATTTCAAATTTCAGAATTTCCGAATATGTAAATTTCCGAACAACTGAATTTTAAAATTTCTAAATATCGAAAGTACCGAGTCTCCAAATTTCTTCTCTCCAATTTTAAAATTTGAATGCTTGGGGATTTCAAAGTTTAGAATTTTCGAATATTTAAATTTAAAGTTCCCGATCCTCTAAATTTCCAAATTTCAGAATTTCTAACCCTTTATATTTTCAAATTTCAGAATTTCCGGAAATATAAATTTCCAAACCACCGAATTTAAAAATTTCCAAATCTCCAAATTTAAATATTTTAAATTTCAAGGTTCAGATTTTCTAAGTATTTAAATTTTAAATTCCTAAATCTGTAAATTTCTAAATTTCCGAATTTTCGAGCCTGTAAATTTTCAAATTTTTCATATTCCATTTTCCATATTGCATTTTAACCGCTTCTTATTTCTCTCCAATCGCTTTTACTTCGAGAGATATTCTCGAAATAAAAAGTCAACAGTGATATCTTACCGGGTTTAAATGGTGGAAAATAAAATTTCTCTGCGCCACTTTTCCTCTCTCTTCGCGTAGTATCCATTGACGACAATGTCCTTGTTCCATTGTTTCGCTATCCGTCTTATTGCCATGGCAAGAAGTGGGCCGAATCTTAAGCAGCTAGATTGGCACGATCAGTGCACTCTCGTGTTCGTCGGGTCTTCCGTTTTTACCCGTTTCTTTCCCTCGTGCAGCCTTGTTCTGCATCGAATAGTCATCCTTCTGTAAATTTCCGCTCCACTAACACTCTCGCCACTTAAGAACCTGACGACAGCACGCTATTCCCCCGATGCGCAATCTTACAGTGGAACAAGCTTCTTGGCAGGCAACCAGAACACACTATAAACTAAACACAAACGCTCAAACCAGAAGCGTAGCGATGCCAAATATTTAAAAGAACATTCCCGACCTACGATTCGGCCCATTTATTTCTACCCTATATATTTTTTCCTCTATTTTTTCTTCATTTTTCCCTTTTCTCTTCGCTGTACACGAGTAATCTAAAATAAACAGGATGTAACAAGGTGAAATCTCACGCGATAAAATTTATCTCGGATAAATATTAATCTCCACTGATTCGACGAGATTTCAAATTTTTTAATTTCCATCTCGAACCCGGACTCACCCCTAACGATCCACGGAATCGAATTTTAATAGAGAAAAAGAAATGCGCGAAAGGATGGCAAACTCGAGGTTTAATTAATCCGCGGTAACCCATAACCGTTCTTCAAAATTTGATCCATCGATCGAATTTCCTTCATGATATAAATAATTGTTTCCATTAAGGAGTAAACAATTGAAATTCGATACTTTTAATAAAAACTTCCCTTGTCCCACGATGACACGGTACTCTAGTAGCTGAAATTTTCCGCAACGCCAATATCATAATTATTCATGAAATATACAAAAAAAAAGATTCCCTCACAAAAAAAAATATTTCGCTCACTAAACTAATTAAAAAAATAATTAACCAAATAACTGATTATATTCGCTGAATTTATAGAAAACCGTGTACATCCTAACTTTCTAAAATACCAAATTCATAATTACTTATTAAAGGAAGGAAAGAAAATCCGAGAATTTTTACCAAGTTTCCAAAGAAATTCGATCATTAAAGAAATTAAGATAATTACGCGAATACCGATAACCGATTTACCACACTGGAATATAATCACTCCGACATGCCCGCTTCCCGTGTTCCTCTTGATCCCCGTCTCACCGCTTCGGATCAGCCTCGAACTCGCGTTTCACCGAGTGATCGCAGCTCGGATGGTCGAAATCGCGAGCTGCACTCGAAATTAAAACGGCGAAAGGGGAGAACTTATTTATCCAGCGGGATTCTGTCAAGCCGAGGCCGCGTATTGGCTTCACGCTCGATCTGCCGCTCGCTATTAGCAAGAAATCCTCTCCCTGGTGGCCGTTCTCGGCTCGATATCGTTCCTCCGACGTTGAAACCCGAGCAAGAACCGACGAATAAAAACAAACAGGGGGTGGGCAGAGGGAAAAACGGGAAGAAAAGGGTGGAACGACGGGAAGGGATGAAAAAAGGCGTGCGGGAAGGAGCGAGAGAGACGCGGAGCTGTGAAAGAGCAGCCGCAATATCGATTCACGACATTCGCCAGCCGGCTCTTGCTTATGATTTCTCCAGACCCGGGAACACGCCTCGTAATACGAGTCCACCGAACAAATCCGATAATTCCGCCGCAAGATTCGTGCCTGCAATAACGAGTCAATTTTTTCCTATTTCTCTCTCCGCCGACCTTCCACTTCCGCATTGGTACCCGGTGCTTCCGTCTCGCTCGCCGGAATCGCCGAGGAAAACCACGGTGGTGGTCGAACGTGTAGAGAGACAGGCAGACAGGGTAGGTAAATCGGGACGAAGGAGAAGGAAGGAAAAAGGGTGAGATAAAAATGGGGTAGAGAGACACGAGCGAAAGGGAGGCAAAAGAGGAGGAGGAAAGGGTACAGGGAGAAGATCTGATGGAAAAATGGAGCGAAGGGTGGACATAGGGAGGGTGGATAGAGACGGAGAGAGAATCTCATGGTTCGGGGGGATAGGTTGGAGGGAAAAACGAGGAGAAGGGTGGAAAATCGAGGAAACGAGAGAATCTTCGGCCACGGATCGGCATGTACCATTAATTTCCGTGGAGCCGAGCTGATCCCTGATTTCCTCTTCCTACCTGCTTCTCCGTTTCACCCGTCCGTCCCGTCGCCCTTCCACTTTATTCGCTGCCTAGTTGGGCAAACTTTTATATTGGACAGTGGAATCACGGCGTTAATCTGCGGTCACGGTGGCAGGAACGACGAGCTGCATAACGGCTCGGTTCGTTATGGGAACCGTGTAAAAGGTTGTCGCGAAATTTACAAGATTGGTTCGCGCGTGTAGATGGAGCGAAAAGATTTTACAGCGAGTGGATATCGTTTATCCTTTCTCGTTTATACTTTGGAATGATTTGGAATGACAAGACTGACGAAAGGAAGAGAAACGAGTAAGGTGGGGGGAGGGGGGGCTGTAGAGGGTGGGTTTTGTAAATAGAATTCGACGTATCGTCGAAGAGATTTGACAGTATCTTGCGATCAAGGTCGATCATTCGTTTATGGTATGTGCTTGAGGATTATGGGTTATGTTGCAGCAAGGGGATTAGAATTAGGAAAAATTCTGTGGGTAGAAAAGATGTTTAACCCTTTGACTACTGTGGGCCCCTAAAGGCTCTCAAAAGTCTCTTTTGCTATTAAATTTTAAGTATACGCAGTAACAATTTAATACAGAATACGAAGAAATAAATAACGTTGTTTTAATGTAGTGGAATATAGTGTTTTTATTATTACTTGAATATACAATAATTTCTCAGAAATGCAAAAGCACAGCTGACGAAAAGTTTCACCGTCCTCGATGTACATTGCAAATGGATTCCTATCGTATAATATGGCTGGTGTGTTTCAAAGTCTGTTATAGTCAAAGGGTTAAGTATCACATAGTGTATCGATATTTTTAATTTTTCTTTTTGTTTATGTAGTAAGGAATCTTCCACGATTATTAATCTGTCGATAAAAATTTGGCAGATAAGGCATATACAGTATAGGCCAAGAATTTTAACCCTTTATTCGCAGTCCTATGACAGAATTTTAGTCAGGATAAAGTGGAAGAGTGTGGCATCCTCGAGAAAATATTGCGCGATGAACTGGGGAACGTTGGTCCACTTTGATTTAGCTTTCCGATCTCCGGCAGATCGCTGGAGGCTAGAACCGAGGAAGGATTAACAGGCAAAATTGATTCTGTTGTTGTCAGAGCAGCTATTATTGCATTAGGTGCAAGTGGAAATTTAGCTCGCTTGTGTTGAAAATCGTGGACAGTAATGGTTGTTTACTGGATAAACTCTGCTTATTATATGAACGTACATAATAGTTGTGTATCTTATAAACTCGGCTAGATACCGAGTAGTAAAGTACACGTAAACTTCAAGGAAACTTTCTTTTATTTTACGTGTTAATGAGAAGGAAGCTTTTCCGGTGATGGTGATTGACGTTCATAATCGAGACTATGAAAATATTAATTATGCTCATATTATTTAACGAAATAATTTGTTTTAATAGAATTGTTTTCGTTAATCGTTATACCTGTTTAATAATATTTGAAATGTTGCTATTACACAGGTGACCCTTGTATAACAAAGATATATTCTATCTACAATCAAGTCAGATTTCAGAGAAATGTCGCGTTATAAAAATCACGTTATCCGTGTTCAAATTTCACACAAAGAATAATTTATTCACGAAAATATACATATCTGTTTATTTCAGCTACGTGCATACATCAATATATATCCCACGAAATGAAAAATTAATAAAATAAGCTGCATAAAGTCGTATTTATGTACGTTAAGAATTCAGAAGATATACAAGGGTTACCTGTGCTAAAATCTTATGTTTTCGTTAACCCTTTGCACTCGAGAGGCGCCTTTCAGTCGCTATTTAATCAAATTCTAAAGATGGATGTTAATTAATATATCAAATTTACAATTACCCAACGATGCGTGGAATATCGAAGTAAAATGGTTCTACGTCCTAATTTGCGTACGATTTCTTATTTACAGTTTTAAAAATATCGTCGACTTTATGGTAGAAAGTCTTCGAATTACTATTTTCCCGTAACGAAACGATCTCCGAGTGCAAAGGTTTAATATCCACAATTTGCATCGATATAGCACAACAATCCCTATTTCCCCCGCATCCTCCAATACCCAGTGTAAAACTCAACCTCGTATTTCACGATACCCTTAACAAAAATATTACCATTTCTTCACCCAAGGTATACCATAATTAATGACCGAAGCAAAAGAATATTCCACACCCGCCACAATAACAACCCTCGAGTCATGCCAGCACTCGAACACGCCCAAGTCTTCCGCTGGAAATCAACCATTATCCTCGATATCCATCAACCGCACCCAAAACGCGTATCATTCTGGCGAAATTTATAATCCGACTGGGCGAACGCGACAAAACAATCACCCTTCTTCTCGTCCATCTTACACCGCGCCCATAGCGCAAAATATCCGCGCGGTGGGTGCTGTTGGGAACAAAACATCGCGCAGTTTCTTACACAGAGACACGGTTAAACTTTCAGACGAGCCGGTGGTTACCCTCGAGCTCGGCAGCAATCTGAACTTGAGCGCAATCCGCGAGGGTATCGACGTTTATTTCGAGTGCAATATCAAGTCGAATCCGTGGGTTTACAAGGTCTCCTGGCGGCATAACGTGAGTTGCAGCGAACCCACAGTCGCATCCCTCTATGTTGAACGACCACGACGACGGGGACGATGGCGAGAGACGATGGAACACTCGCTAACAGCCGGATAACGAATCTGCGTGGCAGTTCCGGAATCGATAATTTAGAACGGGGCTGAAGCTTAATCGAGAGACGAGATAAGGGGGTCGGGTGGCGCAGCTGTGACGCGAAGTTTCCGTTTAAAATTTACATGCTGATACGGGCCGACCGGGAAACAGCGCGTAAGCGTTCTTTGAACTAATAGCCAGCGTTCCGCATCGATAAGAAATTTATCGGCGAGTTTCGGAAACGTTGACGTAACCCTAAGCGCTCCTGCTCCTTAAATGGGGTGAAGTCTGACGGGGATCCGCTAATAGCACGCTCCCAGGGTACCGTGGGGAGTAATGTGCACCGATTTTGGCGAATGATAAGGCGAATAGAGTGATAGGTATTTTGGGTTAGGCGAAATTTATCGGAGAGAAAAATTTTGAAACGCGAATTTTCCAAGATGGAGACATTTGTATATTCTTTGGAATTAATCGTTGATCGATTAGGATGATTCTGGTGTTTCTTAGAAAAAAGTGAAGAAATTTTGAGAGCGAAGGAAAATTTAGTCGTTGTCTTGAGTAAAGTTCTCGAGATTTTTTATTTTTGACTCGTATTTGCATTTTGTATTATCGAATAATTATTTTATTTCCACGAGGTGGAAAAAGGAGTTGGTTTCCATGTCATAGTTATTTGAATTTTAATTTCTAATATTCAAATTGCATCGATTAATCCCAAATATAAATACGTGTACATAAGCTTAAAGAAAGCTTTATCAGTTCCAATTAAAACGAAATATTTCATCGATCATATTCTGGTACATTCGTCAAAATCCACCGAAATACGGTACACAAGATTCCACGCGGTTACCTGCTAGTACTCCGCAAACCTATTGAAACTTGTACAAACGATATGGCCAAGGGAAACGAAGTCAATCGTTGCTTGTGACTGATCCGATGTAACATCGATATGGGACGTGATTGGTATCGAGCTGTGGCAATCACAGCGCGAGATTTGTTTAATGATTAGTTGTACCAATGAGCGGGTTTCCTATTCAATATTAATCTGTTTGATATTGACACGTTCAAACTACCACGGATCACTGATTGCTTACGCAAACGAGTGCCTCATTCGTCATTAGCGGCGCGAGGGGTCCTGCAATTTCTTGCCGCGCAAACTTTGAAAATAATTTTTGAAAAACATTTCGCGTGGAAAAGAGAGGAGAGAAAAAGAAGAGAAAGATTCGTAAAAGGATAACGCAACGTAAATGCTGCTGGCTTTTTTCACCCTTCTGCACCCCCTTTCACGGATCGTCATTATTAATTCCGTTTGCGTTCCAAGGCGAAGGTTTTCTGACAGTACACCCCTGCCGTTCCGCGCTTTAACGCGCTTTTACATTTCATAGCCACCCGTTCCACCCCAATAACGGAATCGTATATTTTGCATTACTACGTTTCATCATGAATATTTTAAGCTCAGGTGTGTAACTTTACTCTTTCACCAACGGGGAACAATTTCAGAGTCCTCGAATGGATCGCGGAAAATAATTTGCACGGGGGAGAAAGACGAGAAAGTTCCTTGTTGCCATGTTTTCGTTAATGAAAGAAACGAATTTAACACTACAGCCGTCGATTATTACGCGTATTTGCCTAAACGAATTAAAACGATATAACAAAAATAGATGTACAGGGAGTCGCATAAATATAATGCGAGTTACTCGTTTTTCCAAGTGAGCATTTGTACAACATACAAGGGGTAACTTCACTGCCGATTTATAATACGATTCCAATTATTGTATACGATGCAGAAATAGAAAATCAAGGACCAGTCATTTTGACTATTTAGGTAGTATCAACGAGATCGCGCAATTTGAGAACCCCACACAGGTCCACCAATCGCAGACCAAAATTCCTACGCAATTCCATTATTAATCCTTTGCACTCGAGAGGTGACTCTCAGTCGCCATTTAATCAGATTCTAAAGATCGACGTTAATTAATATATCAAATTAAAAATTACCTAACGATGTGTGGAATATCGAAGAAAAATAACTCTATGTCTTAATTTGCATATAATCTCTCGTTTACTATTTTTTTACCATTCGTCTACTTCGAATATCTATTTTTCTGTAACAAAAAGGTCGTCGAGTGCAAAGGGTTAGGCTTAAACTGAATTACCCCCACGCCCCTCACTCCTCAATAAGAGACCAAACACCTTAACGCAAAGTTCCAACGATCCTCTTGAAAATTCCCCGATTTCCGCTTCGAACGGAATACGATCTCGCGGGGTACTCACCTGCGAGGAGAAGAGGGGTTGATAAAAGTGGGCGTAGGATTTATTATAAACGAATACAGAAGCCCGTCTCTTGGTGTCGATATATTGCACCCTGAGTTCCATAAATATTTCCCGCGCGACTCCGGATCATAATGTCATTGTAGTCGAGGCTGCGTCCGGAAGGCGCGCCATTGTCGATTCGTCGTCTGATTCGCGGACAGGAGGACTTCCGGCACCGGTGCCGGTGTGTTTCGTGAAAATTCAAAAGGCGCCTCGAACGGAAGACATCGTTCGCCGTTGGCACGCCTGAGAAATTGAAAAACTGTCAGCGGCCCTCGCCTTGTTTATTTATTTTTCCTCCCCGCCCCCGCGCGTCGTCTTCTGCTTCCCAAGCCCCCGTTCTCGCGCGAAATTTACACGCGAACCCGGGTCCCCTATCGATCGGCCCCGCGTATCGGGACCATTAATCATCCGGGACGGTTCACTTCGAAATTACCTGGCCGAGCATCCGCCTGAAGAAGGATATGGAGAACGTTTCGATGATCCATCGTTCCGGTTGTTCGTCGTCGTTCGTTGAAAAACCCCGTGAAAAAACGGGTGGCAGAGTGTGCACGATTTTACGTTCCACAGGGCAATCCGCTGTACCATAATCCAGCCACGGGCACCATAATCAGTAACCAAAGCCTGGTGCTGCAGAGCGTGACTCGGGGCAGAGCCGGAATCTACACGTGCATCGGCAGCAACCAGGAAGGCGACGGAGAGAGCAACCCACTGAATCTGGACATCAAATGTGAGTAATATTCATTGTGTATATTCATCTTCGTGTTTGTAGAGGTTTCTTGGGTTTTTGTGGACCAGGTAATGAGGGTGTTCGCGAATTTGCGATTGTTTCTTTTGCGGTGGCATCGTGCTCACCCTCGTCAGTAGATGAATTCCTACTTGAAGGAGGTTGGAGGACTTTCTCGCGAGTCCTGGATGAAAACTCTCCGCTTTCTGTGTATACAATTTCTAAACTTTTCAATAGTATTCCTGTCCAAGGCAGGGCCCGATAGGTAGCCTTTCTGATAAGTCCACTAGCAGGCCCAGGACGCATCCCTTCCTTTTCCTTTCGTTCCTTCTAATACCACTGCCACATCGAAGATACCTGTGACCAGATGACAACAGCAACCGTGGTGGAGGACACCCTCCACACGTTGTTAGTCGTTTTATCTGCGAAGTTATCTATTTGTATTCGTTATCAATATTTATGTTGGGTTATTCGGAATAGTTCGGGATTTCTTCGTCAGATGGCGTTGCTTTGTTCTGCGGTATTAAGCAGTGTCTTATTAGTTATCGAATATCAGGGTTAATTGGAATTGTGCAACGATCCACGAGATGGCTAAACGTTACAAATCAATATTTTTCTAGTGCATCTCTCGTACGAATTTGTATCGACTGGATATATGTAGCTCGAAGAATATATCTCTCAAAATATCTCGAAATTCAATAATCGCGAATTGTATCCTTTCGACTACCGCGGCGTCGTATAAAAGGGGATTAAATTATACGAAAATAAGGTACAAGAATGAAATGAAAACTGTAAGCGATGCAAGTACCTTCTGCTTTTAATTAAAAATGATTCATCAGCATAATTGGATGGAACGGTTGCATTAAAATGCCTGTTTCATCGTTCATCTTTCCGCGGCGTCTCGCAAAAATGTAGGGAAGAGTGACGACGCGATGATGAAGAAACATCGTGAAAGAAGGTCTAATTATTCAAAATTTCGCGAATGTGTTCGTCGTAACTTTGTTTCATTAAAAGTTTGTACCGCGATGTCACGGGAAAATATCACCAGGACTCGATCTATGCAAAAAATTTAATCAAACCCGACGGAAAATTTCACAAAGGGTACACGAGGCAATTGCGCAATATAAAAATCCAGTCTTAACTAAATTCCACGAAATAGCAAATACGTCCCCAATTCTTCTCCGAGAAGTATGATTCGTTCGACACGTTTCACCGATCACATGGTTAATATTCTTTTAAATCAAACACACAATAGAACCTCTGAGATGAACTACGAACACGACATATCGTTGAAACGAAATGCCTTTAAAATCTTTACAGCCAGAATAAAAGAAAGAAAACAAAAATGATACTGAATATCGCGATAAAATCACGATGATTAAATAAGCACAAATTCTCGAATAGTCTAAACACCGTGCAACGCTGTACAAATTCTATACTCAGAGACAGAACAAACGGTGCAGCCAGACACCCAAGAATAAAGTACCAAATAACGCGAACAATATTTTTCTTCACTGGGCAAAGTTAAAAAGTGCAATCGTTGCTCGTGCAGAAAATCAGATACTTTCGAACGCCGTAAAATCTCGGGGAAAGGAGATATCGGAGAAGACAAGCGAAACGAAAACCATAGAGGCCTTTCACCCGAGCGACAAGTCCAGGATCTGTCGTTTCCGGTTCGCTGCAGAAATATTTAGAAAGTACGATTGCTGGCTTCCGTGAGGCCGGCATTACGAGCAGCGAACGAGAGATTGTTACGATTCCAGCTTTGCGAACTTATGCCCATTTGAACGAGGAGAGAAACGGATTGCGAAATGGTCAGGAAAAGGGAAAGCTGGAACGAAGGGGGAGAGATGACGGAGATGGTACCGGCGTGGCCACTAAAAGCGCTCAAGGAAACCGACTCGTAACAACGTGCTTTTACCACGTAATGAAACATTTAACGAGAGACGCGTATAAAGCTAAACTCAACGTCTATCACGGACGTAGTAATACAATGCAACGTTGTTCTGAAAGCAATATAACGTCATTTTTCCGCTAACAAAGTCCCAACCATCCGGCCCGCCATTACTTTCGCTCTCGACGAAATAAATACTTCGCGTAGACGTAATACTAGACATAGTGCTATCTCGAATAATACCGTTTTTATCGATACACGGGTCTCGTTGTTCGTCTCCTTTCGAATAAGTAAAAAGTCGTATCGAATTGACGTAAGTAATTAACACTAGATTTACGAAATCCGTCAGTTTGACGGATGGGTTGCTTCAATTATACGATGATAACAGATTTAGTTAACTTATATTAAGACTGTTAATATTGTAATTGTTTATAAATTAAACTAATCGTTAAAAAAGGGACACGTGGTTTCCTTTACTTGTCAATTTGACAGGTGTCAAATATGTAGAAATAGGTATACAGATAACGTCCGTAAACCTAGTGTTAAGGGCGGACAATCGATTGGATAGTATTGACCTACCTATCTTGACCTACTTATTACAATTTTTCGAAAATTAACCCTTTGCACTCGAGAGGTAACCTTCAGTCACCATTTCATAAAATTTGAAAGATCGACGTTAATTGATACATCAAATTTAATGTAATGCAACAGTGTGCGAGGTATCGAAATCAATTAATTCTACAATTCTATTATTATATAATTCTTTATTTATTGCTCAAAAAAATATCGTAAGTTTTTCAGTAGAGAATCTTTGATTTTCTACTCTCTTCTTTAGCCAAAAAATCTTCAAGTGCAAAGGGTTAATTATCAAATTTGGTATAATAGCTTTCGAATTTAGATATTTTAGGTATTTTAGGTACATTTTATATTTAGAATATTATTGATATAGCCAGACTTTTGGGTAGATTTACGTGATTCGAAAATTGTATAATTCCATGAACTGTTTTTCGGCGATGTAATGACAAAATTGAAAATCGTTTTCGCATTTGCAAAAGCGACGTGAAGGGAAGAATTCGAAGACAGTGAGAAAGTCGAACAGAAATTGTCAAAGTTGAGGAAAATAATAAGAACAAAGGGCATTGCAACAGCTGGAAACATTCAGAGGGGGATGAAATTCCAAGAACAAGAGAACGGGGGTGGTTTCGGGGTGGAATTTGAGCAACAGGAAAACCTTCGTGAGAAAGGAATAGTAACGCGATTTAAACAGAAATAAATAAGAAAAGCTATATAAAAAAGCAGTTATAAAGATGTGAAATAAAATATATCAAAAAGGAAATTACCAAAAATTGGTAAAATAAAGGAAGAATAAAAACTCTGAAAGAAACAAGAATGAGAATAAAGGCCTGGAAATAAATAATGAAAGAAAATCAAAGGAAGGCGATTATAGCGATAAAAAAAGACGGCCTTGGTCCATAAAAGGAAATCTTGTGCTGGAAAGAACCATGCTAGAAGAAATACTCGCGATAGAAAGAAGTAACGCGATAAAACGGATGGAGAGAGCACGGAGACACAAGGAAAAATGGAGTTGCCACAAGTGAAAATAGGACAGATTTCAAGATGTCCTCGAACGAAGGAAGCGTCTTCAACTTTCGAGAATATCCCGGGATTCTAAGGGACATATGTCAGAAATGTAAGAATGGCAGCTTTAGGTAGAATGAAATTGAATTACGGAGTTGCCGATGTGAAAGTGTGACGCGATAATGCACGAATCGCACGTGATCGATAGCATATACGGTATCATAAATTTCACACCCCATAGAGTACGTTGCATAACGAAGTTGTTAAAACTTGCTACCAACGGGTAGATAAAATCGCACGCTTTCTGAATTTTAATCAGAGATTACGTAAGTTCGAACAATAAAATTATATTTAATTATCAAAATAGAAACCAATCTTTGTGCAATCTAATGGAATGCTGATGAAGAAAATGGACGTTCAGAATTTTAATTAACACTATAATTATCCATCGTCTGATACTCGCTGTATAATAATTTTAGTCATCCCTTAAAAAGTTGTAATTTCTTCGTTAATTTAATTATCCAAATTGAGGCGAATCTTTGTATAATTTAATCGAATGCTGATAAAGAAAATGGACGTTCAGAATTTTAATTAACACTATAGTTATCCACCGTCTGATACTCTTTGTATAATGATTTTAGTCACCCCTTAAAAAGTTGTAATTTATTCGTAACTTGGACGATTGTTAATATTTTTATTTCTCAGAATCCATCGCGTGTCGACAGGATTTTATTAAATCCCAAGAATATTGGAGAACACTGTTATATAACGTTGCACTGTTATTTTCCATTTATTCTTTTGGATAAATTTTGTGAGATTATGAAGTTCGATATTGGGTGTTTGGATGGGCAGGTGCTCGAAAGAG